TGATTTGATGATACTTAACAACAATAAGCATTAATAGATAGGTTTTTGTGAGACCATAAGTTTTTGTTTTCTGAACTAAATTAAGTGTCTGGAATACTCATACTTTGCATGTTGTCCATAGCTTGTCATGATCCACACAATCCAAGGCTTTTGCGTAGTCAGTAAAGCACAGGTAAATATCTTTCTGGCATTTCTGCTTTCAGCCAAGATCCATAGGGTATCAGCAATGATATCCCTCGTTCCACGGCCTCTTCTGAATTCGGCTTGAACCTCTGGAAGTTCTCTGTCAATGTATGGTTGTAGCCATTCCTGTATTACCTTTAGTAAAACTTTACTTGCGTGGGATAGCAAAGATATTGTCTGATGATTTCCGCATTCTGTTGGGTCACCTCTCTTTGGAATGGACACAAATACTGATCTCCTCCCATCAGTTGGCCAGATAGTTGTCTTCCAAATTTCTTGGCAGACATGAGTGAGAGTGCCTGCGGTGCCACCTGACTTTCTTGAAAGATTTCAATTTTTATTCCATCAATTCTCAGTGCCTTGCTCTTTGCCAATTTCTTCAGTGCACCTTGGACTTCTTCCTTCAGTATCATTGGCTCTTGATCATATGCTACCTCTTAAAATGGTTGAATGTTGACCATTTCCTTTTGGTACAGTTACTCTGTGTTTTCCTTTCATCTTCTTTTGGTGCTTTCTGCATCATTCAGTAATTTGCCCAGAGATCCTTCAATAACTAAAGTCAAGGCTTGATTTTTACTTCAGTTCTCTCAGTTTGAGAAATGCTGAGTGTGTTCTTCCCTTCTGGTTTTCTAACTCCCGAGGTGAACGTATCTATTACCTCCCAAAATCTTCTCACATGTTTTGTGATTCTTCCTCCCTGTCTCTCACCACCCAGTGCTCTCTGTTACTATAAATGAGATTGAAATTTTCTTGACTTTTAGATAAATGGAATCATACAATATTACTCCTTTTTGTCTGACTTTTTTCACTCAGCTTAATTCTCAGGAGATCCATCCAGTTTGTTTCAATAGTTCAGTTTTTTTTGTTGCTGAGTTAATAATTCACCCATTTGAAATACATCTGGATTATTTCCTGTTTGGGGCTATTGTAAATAGGTGCTGTAGGATCAGCACTGGACTGCAAACCACAAGCTCAGTGGTTCAAACCCACCAGCTGCTCCTCAGAAACACTATACGGGGTCACTATGAGTTGGAATTGATTTGATGATACTTAACAACAATAAGCATTAATAGATAGGTTTTTGTGAGACCATACGTTTTTGTTTTCTGAACTAAATCAACCTTCATACCACAATGAGGGCTAAATTGAAAAAGACAGATGAAGACAAGTACTGGCAAATGTGTAAAGAAATTAGAAGTTTCATATTCTCCTTGGGGAATGTTACATGGAGGAGCCACTCGGGCAAACAATTTGGCAGTTCTTCAGAAGGTTAAATGTAGAGTTACCTTATGACTCAGCAGGTCCACTCCTAGGAATATACCCAAGAGAACTGAAAACATAAATCCACACAAAAACTTATCCACTCATGTTCATGGCACTCGTGTGGTGCTGTAGGTAAATGCACTGGACTGCAAGGTCAGTTTGAAAAACTAGGTTGTAGGTTTGAGCTCCCCAGCCGCTCCTCAGAAACCCTTTACAGGGTTGTTATGAGTCCAAACTGAATTGACAGCACTTAACAACAACAACAACCATTCATAATAGCCGAAAAGTAGAAGTAACACAACTGCCCCAGCAATCAATGAGTGAAGAAAAAAAAATGCAGGTTTTCCATTCTATGGAATTATTTGGCAATAAAAAGCAAGAAAGTACTAATATATACTAAAATTTTAAAACATCATACTAAGTTAAAAAAAATCACCAAATGCCACATATTGTATGATTCTGTTTATATGAAATGTCCAGAATAAACAAATCGTTAGAGCAAAGAAAATGGTTTAAAATTGATTATAGTGCCGGTTCACAGCTTGGTCAATATACTAAAAAGTATTGAACTGTACACTCTACATGGGTGAATTTTGGGGTATGTGAACTTTATATCAAGAAAACTGTTATTTAAAAAGAACTTAGACATCATGAAAACCAGAAAAAATAGTTGATTGGGCCTATTTGTGTGGCTTCTCTATTTTTTTCCTTTGATCTGTTGTCTGTCTCTCCACCAGGATCACACAGTCATGATTTATTGTAGCTATGTAAAAAGCCTTGAAATTGGGTGCACTGGTTCTCCTAGTTTGTTTTTAGCTGTTTTCATTCCTTTGCCTTTCTCTACACATTTTAGAATAATCTTTGTCTATAAACATAAAAATATCTTGTGATATTCTTGGTAGGAATTGTGGTAAACCTCTATATCAATCTGGGGAAAATTGACATAAATTACTATATTGAGTCCTACAATCTCTTCCTTTATTTAGATAGTCTCTGATTTATTTCATTAGTATTTTACCATTTTCATCATACAAGTCGTATACGTTTTGTTAGTTTACACCTATTTTCTTTTTGTTTTTAGTGACGGTAAGTGGCATTATGTTTTAAATTTTGGTGTCTATATGTTATTCCTAATATAGAGAAATCAAATGATTTTTTTTTGTTAAATTAATTTTCTAATTATTTATAGTTTACCAATAAAAATATTTCAAATATGATTTGAAAATTACTCTTAAGTGCTGAGGGTATTTCTTACTACTAGGAAGTCTAAAGATTGTGTTTTAATATTATTAAGAATATTAGAGTTAATGAATTAATAGACTGAAATTCCCTGTGCATTCCCACTCTACTTATTTTCTTGCGTCTTTACCTTTCATGTCAACTAAATATTAGTTTTCGACTCTTCCTTAACTATTATTATTTTCTTAAAATTAGAAAGTGTGTTTAACTGAAAAAGCTGAAGGTCAGTATTTTCTAGACAGTCTTATATTTTCATGACTGAATATTTTTCAGACTGGTGTCATTCAATATTTCTACATTGAAGACTGGCAATTTGTTAACAACTATCGACACCCTGTGGGTGTGAAAAAAGTGTTTCCTGATCCAAATGGGACCAGACTGGTTTTCATTGATGAAAAAAGTGATGGATTTGTCTATTGCCCAGTAAGTTTAGCTATGTTTTTAAATGTGGCTTTTAAAATACAATATAAGAAGCAAAGTGTTTTTAAAGTAAATATCAGACATAAAGGTGGTTTTTCTTGAATAGAAAGGATTTTTTTAACTTTAATCATGTTTTAGATTGAATTAATCACAATAGATCCATTTTCAAGACTAGATCAAGAAATTTTTTTTCCCATCATCCTATAATTATTTTCATTCCCAAAGCAATTTTTTTTTTTAACTGGCAAGATATCCATTATATGCTATTACATTTCTAGCTGTATTACTTACTACACATGTTCACTATATCTTCATGTGCATAGCTTTTATCCCCAGATCGCCAACATGCCTCAAAGGGCAAAAATTAGACCCTGTTCTTTCTGCCCTCCTCACTTGGTTTTTCTCTTGTGTTGGATATCCTGAACACAAAGATCAGGTATTAGATGAGTTTGTGTCAGATGATTAGAAACAGACAGACCACTATTAAAATCAGGTGCTTCTACTTTTAAACATCCTTAACGTTTTAAAAAATAGATTCAGAAAAAGGAAATGTGTGGGTTTATATCATTTACTCAGATGTCTCATTTTTTACATCTAGTTAATAGTGGTGTAGGATAAGCACTGGACTGCTGACCACAAGGCTGGCAGTTCAAACCCTCCAGTTGCTCCACAGGAGAAAAATGAGGCTTTCTGCTCCTATAAAGATTTACAGCCTCACAAACCCTATACAAATTTGCTATGACTCAGAACTGACTCCATGCCACTTAACAATTGCAACAATTCCTTATAAAGATTAGTGGTCTCTCTTAACCCTTACAGTAACCTCAGAGGGAAGTACGCACATAATTGATTTCCGTTTTACAGATAATGACACTTAGGCATAGACAAGAGAAGTAACTTGTCCAGAGTCACACAGTCAACAAGTGGTATGAATGGTGTGAAGCGTGGTGTCCTCCTCCAAAGCTCTCAGGTGGATGGAATTCCAAGTTTCTCTACCTGTAAAATGGAGATACTTCTGATGCCTGCATTGTCATCGTTGTTAAGTGCCATCGAGTCAGTTCTGACTCATAGTGACCCTGTATAGGGTTTCCAAGGAGCGGCTGGTGGGTTTGAATTGCCAACTTTGCAGTTAGCAGTCCAATGCTTATCCAATAGTGCCATGCAAGGCTCCTTGTAGAGTTTATGAAAATAAAATGTGGTCATGTGTATAAAGCTTTTAGTGCATTGTGTGCCTTGTGACTCTTATTAAATGTTTATTCTGCCACCAGTGCGGTGGCTCCCATGTGCTCTTCTCTACAAACTGAAGGTCATATAGATTAGCGATTTGAAGCAAAGGTTGTGGAGTCAGAATGCCTGGGTTCACTTTCTAGCTCTTTAGCTTATTAGATGAGTAACTGCAAATTTCTCTCATGCTTGAGTTTCCTCATCAGTAAAATGAGGGTAATAATAATAGTATCTGTCTTAGAGTGAGCAGTTAGCATTAAATCTTTAAGCTGCTAACCACAAAGTTGGTGGTTCAGAGCCACCCAGTGGCTGCACTGCAGAAAGACTGTGAGACCTGTGTTCATAAAGATTACAGCCATGAAAACCCTGTGGGGCAGTTCTGCTCTGTCATAGGGGGCCACTGTGAGACAGAAGTGGTGTGATGACACCTAACAACAGGAAGACATCACGATATGTAAACGTGCTGAGCAGCACTGTCTGGGAGAACTAGAACAGGAGTAGCTGCGAAACTCTCACTAGTCTAATTGAAAAAAGAGATAAAATGAAACAGGCATTCATTCACTATCACTAGTTCATTGTGTAATCAATATGAAAATATTGTTAATGAGAGTTGCACATTCTTTTTTTCATACTAAGTCCATGACATCTGGTGTCCTGCCTCCATTTGGAGCAGCCACATGTGATGAGGGGCTACCGATGGCCATTTGAACTCCATCATAGCGATACCTGTTCTCAGAAATGTTATGTTTTGTTCTTCTTTGAGAACGACAGTGGAGTAGGGAGGAGGCAGATATTTCCAAGCTATCTGTTCAGGATGTGCAATAAGCCTAGCTCCACTCATGACTTCACAGGAACAATACCCATGACTTTCTTTTTTAAAATCGCATCTGTTGCTATCACAATGTTCTTCATGCTTATTGGTGTGCATTACAGAGAATTCTTTGAAATAACATTCGTTGTTGTTGTGAAGTGCTGTCGAGTCAGTTCTGACTCATAGTGACCCTGTATAGGGTTTCCAAAGAGCGGCTGGTGAGCTTGAACTGTGCAGTTCAAATGGCTTTGCAGTCTGGTGCATTAACCCACAACATCACACCATAACATACACTTAGTTTATTTAAATTCAAATTCAAT